TAATTAAAGCCTCTCAGCAATGACAGCTACTCGGGTAAATTCTAAAGTAGATTATTCCATGCTTACAATCCACCAGCCTCAGCTTTTCAGGGGGATAATTATGCAGCTCCCATTATTGCACCATGAGGCTGTCAAGCCTGGGAGCTGTGTTTTAAAAATGGAGAACTGAAATACAGAGACACAAAGACCTCAGTTCTGAAAGCTGTTTAGATGCCTAATCGCAACTGTTGTTTTTTTTTTTTAAATCAAGCTGAGCGATATTTAGATTTTTAAGCGTTAAAAAGAAAACAAACCAGTTTAAAGTCACTGCACCCTAAACAAACTCCTCCTTGAGAGATTTCTTTTCCATAGTTTATAGATCGTTAGATGAGGGATAGGACACAGGACTGACAAATTTGTGCTGGATGTGTTCCATCAGTCACAGTGATGACATTATAACTTACTAGAGATGATGCCTGTCACCCTGGATAGAAGAGAGGTATGGAAGAAAGAAGAGTCAGACAAAAGGAGTTACAGAGAAAGAGGGGGGGAAAAAGGAAGGAAAAAAAAAGATGCATGTCCAGAGAGAGTTCCTACAGAAGCTCATCATTTACAGCCGTGTCAGCAAAGGACTTCCCATGTCAGTATTTAAGAGCAAAGCCACCCAAAGTAATCCATCACAGAAAGACCAAATGCTCAAGAGAACATGGGCAGTAAAACATGGGCTTGAGAAATGTTCCATGGGAACCCTGCAAAGCTAGTTTTTGTTTGGGTTGGTTTGTTTTTTGAGGAAAAAAAAAAAGCACTTCTTTCTACCTACCAGAGGTTTCTGCCCAAAAGACTCTCAGTGCAGATCTGGAGGATTACAGTATTTTTGAGATACCAGTACTGATAAGCGCCACTTCAACTCAGCACCCTCCAAAAACATATTTCCTGAGTTTTCATACTTAAATGCACACGTGTATCCACAAGCTGAAGTTAAAACTGTATTTGTGAACGGCTCCTGCAGTGTTAACAACACTTTTATGCTACTCACTCTAACAGAAGCATCTGACACCCTAACCACCACACCACCTTCCCCTTCCTCTCAAGGACAGCAGAACTCTGCTTCATCACCAATTCCAGATTTAAACCAGAATACCAACCAAACAGAATTTTAAAGGTGGTTATTTTAAATACCAAAAAAGTTAAATAACCAACTAATGCTGCAGCTATTGTATTCATGGACTTTGAGCTTTGTTTCCGATATTATCTGATGGTTGGACTTGATGATCTTAAACGTCTTTTCCAACTTTAATGATTCTGTGATTATTATTCCTGCCTACCAAATTAGCATTTTTGGATACTATTCCCCCAAATTACAGGTTTAAAGATGCTTGTTCATACTGCCAAGAAACCTGCAGCTTTCCAGAAAGGCCAAATGAATATCAATGAAGAGCTCTTGGACTGCCACTCTGTTCATAGACTGTAGAAACAGAGCATATAAATACAGTTTAAAACAGTTTACAGAGAAATATTAAGCAAGCAAGAACAGCCCAGGTGGAACGGGAGGCCAGGATGAGAAAAGCAGCACTGACTGCACTTACATACTGGGTGCTCTCCGGTAATGTTAATAAATCATCAGCTCAAACTGCAACAAAATTCAAGCCTATCTCATCTTGGTTTTTTGAGAAACTGCTGAGAAAAACATTAACTGTTACTACGTCTCCCTATGGAGCCTTACTCCTCTGACATCCATAGACCACAGCAGCTAACACCGCTTGTGCAACGCTGTTTTCAGAGAGCTGTTTTCATCAGCTGTTACCACAGGCTTCCCAAAAATAGTCCTGCAGGGTCCAAACCGCAGTCAGACACATAGCCGTTGTCACTGCTGATCCCCAGAAGTGCAACTCTGGTCCCAAGTTAAGCACGGGAAAAATGAGTAACAACCCAAGAGAAGAATTACAGTACCAGTAACTGCAATGCGTGGTGTGCCCAAAAGAGACAGTGGTTTTTCCAGCCCAGGAACAGCAACTGTTCACCCTCTTTTCAGCCCCCAGCAGAAGTAAGAGAGTTGAGACAAGTATCCAAACTGGCAATGACTCAGAGGCAGTGCATTCCATTTATTTGTGCATAACCAGTATCTAGCAAAGCATGACTTGAATGCCCAGTTATTAGCTTGCTAATAACATGCACATATTATTAACTGTCCGAAAAGTCACCTCAAAGAGATCCTCAGGGCAGAATGGCCAAACAGAAGCGCTATCTCTCTGCACTCTGTTTTACCATTTGAAGTACACAATGATTGTGTTCAGGACCCTTAGCTAAGCAACCTCTCCCTTCTAGGACATGCCAAAATTTAGACCCTTTCAAGTAACATAAGCTTGACTTCAGGAAGGGTGTCACTGAATCTTTGGGGTTTTTAAGATGTAGAACAGCCAGGATATCCACTAAAAATAGCTAAAGCTCAACTATGTAACTTAGTTTGCCAACATAAGTACCTACAGACACTGTTCTGCAAGGAGCATTAGCCATGTAAACTTTTAAACAGGAGACTCCAAAGTGCGAATTTCACCTCCTTCGCTCATGCTAAAGGTTGGCCATAAAACACTGCACAACCAAAACAGCTCTTGGCTCCTTCCTGCTTGGTAAGAGCCCTTGTTAAGTCCTGACAAACACGCCTGTTTAATGAGAGCCTTCCCTTTAATGGGATCCATAACTCTCTAGGAAATAGAATGCTCTAAGACAATTTTCTCCATTGCTGTTCAACAGAAAATCAGGAAAAACCCAACATCTTCAATACAAGTTTCTCAATGAAAGTTTAGGGAAGGTAAAGAATGGGAAAGGACTATACCAAGACACACGCAGGAACCTCCTGGTGAATTCATGAGCTTAATTTTGACTTGGAAGCAGCTCCTGGTTATGGCCTATCCTTAGAAAAGGTTGGCATTTGTGACAGAGATACTCATGATAAATGGACTGAAATGAACTCGTTTCACAAACGCCAGCCAGCCTTCAGTGATGAATTTTGGTACCTACTGACTCAAGATGGATAATGTACAATTTAAACTTTTCATCTCCTGCTGTGAGTTGCAGGAATTGTTCAAACCACCACAGTGCACGGCATTCTCTTGACTATTCTATTTTTACAAATACCAGGTGGCCCAGAATATTGGTTCCACTAAACAAGCATATTAAGTTTTTCCACGAACACTTGCTGAACTTCCCCCCCAACAGCTCCCTGCTATTCCCCCTTGATCACAGCCCTCCCCTAAAACTCCCCCAGCAGTTTCTGTCTGTATTGCTTGAAACACCTCACTGTGGTGCGTCAGGTTCCCCACCCGTTTGGCTAGGCAAGAGATAACGTGACTGCTCTGTGCGACAGAGCGCTGCATTAATAACAAGCGGCATCAATCAGAATCTTGTTCCTTCCCCAACTACTCATTTTGACAACACACAGAAACCTGTCTGGGTTCCTGATGTCTCTATATCAAATTTCAGGTAGGGCTAGCCAGCAAATGATATGGAGGACTGACAGATCAGGTAAATCTTGGCTCCTTGCAAAGTCAGGCTGAAATCTGCCCGCATCTCCCTTCCATCAGGGTCGTGGCCACCTTCTCCAGCCCCAACAGCTCATGATTTGCCATCCAGAACAGCTCCTTGCTGGCTGCACAGGCAGTGGGGTAGGACCTCTCTCAATTTCTACTAATGGTGCCTGCCTAAAGCAAGACCTGGCCTACGGCTGGGCTAACAAGGGCACCCTCTTAGCAGCCCTTAAGTCAAACAGTACTGGGGAGAGCTATGGGGCTTCGTTCCTCACTCAGGAAACTCAGCTAGCACTGTGAGACAGCTTTGGTCAGGCTTGCACACCCTCCTGCAGATTTACTGCTGAAGATTAAATCTATTCTAGTTCCAGAACTCAAAAATATAAAGCAAGCATGTTTTCATCTCCTAATTCTGGAAAACATGAAGCAATATATTATTGCTTGTAATATTCCCAGCGAGAATAGCTTTCTCTTCTTGTGCGTAGCCAGTACTGTATGACCATGCTCTGACCAGTACAGCACCTATGATGACTTTGTTACTCGTGTGGCTGCCACTCCAAGCAAAAATTCAAATAGGGCTCTGCTCTTCACAGGGTCTTCTTATTAGAACACGGATCATCTTCCTACAAAACTTTTCCTAGCCTTACCACATCAGTGTGCACTTATCCCTCCAAATCTTGGGCCACTAACATTTCCTTTGCTACCACAACTCCCGAGAAGATAGTCAGAACTCATTGCCCTATATTGCTTAGTTATTCTAAATGTTAACATATACCACTACTCTGGGCTCACTGTTCATCTCTTGTGGACAGCATACCCCTTCCACAACACTACCAAAATGCCAGGCATCCAGCAAGGTCACCCGGCATCAGTAGCACCCAAATATCTCTTCGTGATCTCTGCTTGCATGAGGGATGACACTGCTCGCCTCATCCTGCTACTCAGCTGCACCGCATTCAAACAGCCCCTTTCCCAGTTCATTCCCTTACCTACCTTTCTTCACACAAAGTGGTGCTTGCCAAAGCAATACCTTCTACTATAAAACTTAATTATTTAGTAAAATAAAAAGTTTCACTTCTCACCCTCTGACATAGCAAAGGGGAGGAAAGAAGGAAATCACACAGGTCTGCCTGTATTTTCACAGAAGTCATTTGGCATTGAAAGCCAGAAAGAATCTCTCCATCATGAAACTACATCCTCTGGGCCCACTGCCAAAAGAGCTTTGATGATTACTTATTTGATATAATAATTATTACCTAAGAGAGACTGGCTTTCCTGTAAGTGAAAGATACACTGGTCACAGAGGAAACAAAAATCCACCTCTTTATGCAGGGATGGCAGCTAACTCTCCTACAAGACCTTTACAGCTGCCCATCGTCATTGATCAGCTCGGCTTTCTGACTGACCGCAGTGATAGGAAGGTGACAGTCTCTCCACGAAGCAGCTACACCCTTACTCATCAGAAGTTGGAGTTGATTTTGAAACAGAAATATTTACCTTTGATGCCAGGTTGTCCACCAGTGCAATCATGGAGTTCTTAAAAAGAGTAGCAGCTGTCAGAGGTCTCTTGGTTACCTCTGTGATGCTCAGTTTACCTTCAGGCCACATCATCTTCAACACAGGGTTAGAGCTAGAAGACAGTCTCTTTAATTGCACAGTCTAAGAGCACTTCCACTAAATTCAAAATTCAACAGCTTGCTTCTGTCCAGATCTACTGGTGTTTTCAGCTCAAAATGTATCAGCCAAACCAATATGACATTCCTGGACAAAATATCTCTTGCTCTTGAGCAATATATGGTTCAAGCTTACAACTGAATACTCTGGAAAATTGACAAGCACATTCTCCTCTTCAGATAAAGGTATGCAGTAATGGGATAGTAAAAATCCTGCAGAAGTAATCTATCAAAAACAGAGCCTGCCTTATGGACAGAAACATAAAGAATTTCATAAAAACAGAAAAGAGTAAGACCATAGCCCACAGCATCCTCCCTTGAAACTTGCTATCTGATTTCAAGCTGTGTTTCTGCACCATTCTTGATATATAAAATAATTTATACATCTTAGCCTACATTTTCTTTAAGGGTTGAAGGTGAGGTACAATGGCCATGATGGATGGCAAGAGCTCTGGAACAGACAAAAGCTGAAAGCAGTTACAGCAGTCTAATAGCCAATCTATCACATGCTTTAATATGCTCTAAGTGGTCTTTGTGAACAGTCTTTACCAGTGACTTAATGGAAAAGAGAGGTTAAATTTAATAAAACCTCCGTACAGCAAATATTTTGGAGGTTTTTTGGTTAATGTGAAGTCTTGAAAACACAAACAGCGAAGACTGTTCAAGGGAGCAAACTGAGTAAACATAACAGGACTGTAAACTAAGTTAATAGTTACACTAGCTTTTAAACCAGGTAAACAGAGTTGTCCATGGAGCTAGAGGCTATTTTATGCTGACTTCTGCCTCCGAGCAAAGTCTCTGAAAGGTTGAGATAGGCCACAGTTACAAAAGAATTAGAACATGCTTAATGCCAGCCATCAAGGAAAACAGCTTTCTGGGGCACTTATATATACACACTCATTTTGATAGGATTTCAAATTTGCTTGTCAAAGGCAACTTATAAATACCAATTAGGCAAGTACAAGACATGACTACATGGTTTAAATTTTTCACGTCACTGCACGTACAAAAAGGATTCAAATGTATTTGCCCATTTTCCCCCTCATCCTTAAACTTTCTTTCCAAGCAGGAACTTCTAGCTGGGGCCGATGATATCCGTTGTTGACCAAATGCTACTCAGTATCTTTAGCATTGGTTAAAGAGAGATCAGTAATGGTACGTTTGCAACTGGTCCAAAACCTGGTTAATGACAAATCAAGCAGCACAGGTAATCTCTACACAGTTACCTTGATCGCACAGTGAGTTGGGTTCAAACAAACACTTTAAATTTAAATTAAAGGCTGTATCAGAACAAAACCAACATAAACACAATAAAGGACTTTATCCTGAAAAATCAAACTAACAGCCTTTGGGTCACAGTAGATATACAAAGGTCAAATCCCAAAGCAATGTGTTTATTCACGTGCACAGCACACACGGCGAAGAAAGCATCAGTGAAAACGTTAGTCTCTTCTAGCATCCACTCATTAAAAAGGATTCTGACAAATCAGATTTACATTCACCTCATTAACATTTTGATTCCTACCTGTTGTACATGAGGCGCTTGAAGTCTTGAAATAAAGTGTCCTTGTTTTTGTCAATAAATCCAGTGACCGAGTAACTAAAAAAAAAGGAAAATAGAGTTAATTGCAAAGAAGCAAAGTCCTACTCTGAGCTGCTGGTATCACTGGGAAATCAGCATCCTTGCACTCCTACAGCCACAGCAGATGCTAATCAGGAATGCAGCTCTGTTTCCCAAGCTATCACTAATCTGCTGCATGAGCACTGTGTGAGACTTAAATCCTTCTGCCCAGCTTTCCACCTCCAGTGCAGGAACAACATACATCTCATTTTAGAAAGCTATTTGAACCATGCAGGTGAAGAGCATGATGGCTGAGGCACCTAGCAGGACTCGAACAAGTTGTAGATGGCCCAAATTCCAGAGTTACACTCATGGCTTCTGCCTCCAAATTCAGAGCATGTGTTAAATCCTGCAGAAATTAAGTTTTTTTTTCAATACGTCTGGTCTGTCCCTCTCTTGGTGCCAAGGAAGATTCTCTCGTGGGAGAGTGCCTGAAATCAAGAACAGCCCATAACCAGTGACTAGGGAACTCTCTTGGAAATCAACACATACACACACATAGAGATTTTGGACTCTTTCCTTCCTCTATTCCCATAAGAGATACCACCCTGAAAGACTGCTGTTTCATCTCCTCTCCAAGACTCAAGACAGGCTGCACTGTGTCCTCAAGGAAAAGGTCCAAAATCTCCCCATGCAGTGACTCCAACTCAGCTGCTTCCTGAGCTTCAGATCCCCTGAGAAACCTGCAGGCACTGGGATCCAGAGCCCCACAACATTCAAATCCCTGCACAGAGCCACCCCCAAATCTTACTGCTCCACATAACATAGCTCAGGCTCAAATATCATCTGCAAATATTTCCACATTTCAGTTTTCTTTCACTAACTTTTTCAGCCACTGGCAGTGCAGAAGGTTCAACCACTAAAATGGCACCTTGTATTTTCTCCTCCTTGGCAAAATGCTGTCTTATCAGTAATTGCTCGGCAAAGAGTCCAGAACAAAATCCAGCTGCACTGAATGCGCTCCAGTATGACCACACTGGTTACACTTATAAATTAAAGGTAAATTTAATCCTGAGGTAAAAAAAACCCTAAATTATTTCCTCATTAACTCCCTTTTGATTCTGCTGGCACAGGGAGTTACACAAATCCTAAACCATTAAATCACTCCAGCAATATTCCAGACAACAGCTTTCCCAGTGCAGTTTCTAACATATGGGCATCTTTCATGTCTACTTAATCTTCCTTCCTGTTACTGTCACATACTGTAGGCAGTTTTATAGGCTTCAGGTACAGCAAACTTTTCAACCTTAAGGGGGAAGGCTCCTTGCACTGATACTTACAGCAGTTTAACACTATCCTCTATTTTGAGTCTGCTCAAACTGATTTGAGAACTTAAAAGCCAGAGAGTTATATAATCATACTAAACAGATGTCTAAACCAGATTTTATTAGCTCAGTGTAGCTTTCTTGCATAAACAGCACTGGATTTTTTTTTTTCCCCCTGAAGCACTGCTCTCTTCTCATCCCCTCTCCCCATATTCTCCTTTTATTTCAGTTCCACGTACTAAATCATGTTCTGTATAGCAAGTAACTAGCAGAAGATTTAATTGATAAGCAACTGCTGCACTCTGTAATTCTGTATGACAGCTATTCTGGTTCATACCAGAAGCAGCATTAAATCAGAATATTGTACCACTTCAAAGCTGGGTAAAAGACAGAAATAGAAGGTGCAACTTTATTTCTGAAAGAAACTTACATCACATCTCCGGCGTAGTGCTTGATTCGAAAGTCTCTGTCAAACTCCAGCGTTTTGTCAGTCGCACAAAGCTAAAATAAATCCACATACATTAAAACATCACCTGTGGACTTTCAAGTTTCATGGAAGATCAACACGCATTGGCAATAAGAATGGAAACTTTAGTTCTTCTGCTTTATATATGTGTGTGTAGATATGAAATACAGTTATAATGCTGCTTTAGAATATTTTTTCATGGATGCATTGTAAGAACATATATTTGTACAAAATAAAGGCGCAAGAGCCCTATAGTTTCATTAAAAAATTGAAACTATCTCAAAAACACCATTAAGCAAAAAGAACATTCAAGCACATAAATTTATGACTTTTTCTTTCCCCCTCCTTCCCCCCCTCCGCCCATTGCGATATCCCTCCTCAGCAAGGAAACAAAGCAATCAAAATACGATGGTTCCAACAGCAGTGCTTGTTCTGGCCCAAATCACTCTAGATCATCTAAGACCCCTCAAAGAGCGACCACCCCTGCGGATACATACAGGGTGGTCACAGCTCCAACCCTCTGCTCTCAGCTCAGACCTCCCGTTACATTCCTTCACTACAATGAAGACGTCAAGGGCCCAGGTGGCAGCCGTTCAGTAGCACTGACCACAATACACTCATCCCTTCAGGAGTTACAAAAGCCAAAAAATAATCCATCAGGCTCAGCTTAATTAAAAGACAAACAAGATAAAAATAAGGGTTTTTGTTTAAGCCAAAAGGGGCAGGTAGATGAATTAAGTCTTTGCAGGAAGCACAGGCACCAAGGGCTATGAGCAAATATCTACTATCCACTGAACATCTTGGGAAAAGAAAAGAAGAAATTAGCATGGTTAAACTGCAGGGCAGGAGAGATTATTAGAAGCAGGAAAATATCCTCCCAAAAACTTTACCTGTGTCCAAGAGTAGAAAATAGATTGTCTTAAACTGACAGAACAGATGAAAAAAATAAAACAAATATATTTTTTTTTAAAAAAAATCACAATGAGGAGGCCAAAAAGTTTGAGTAATGGGGTACACAGAAGGTTGTAAAGGTGTAAGAAGTCCAGCACGCAAGAGCAGGAAGGACGCCACAGTCTGCAGAGCTGATAGATGACCAAGGTGTAGAAAGAACACAGAGAAAATGAAGAAATGAGGCCATACCAGGAAAACAAAGTAATTTTTCTTTTTGCAGCTGTGTTCACCAGCAAGTGGCTATGGAAGATGTAATGCCTTTTTTCAACCACTCAAAACATACATCTCAAACCAACACGTCAATAGAAGAGGTATAAGACAACCAAAAACATAATGAAATGAAGCAACTGTTGCTACCAGATGGGACACGATTGGCCACAATAAGCTTCTCGCTTAAAACTCTGCCAGTACTGGAGAGACTGGAAGGTGGCTTAACATGATGCTAGGGGTTTTTTAAGGAGTGAATCTCTCTGAACTTTGTGTCTACCATGCAAATCAGTTGGAATTATTAAAAAAAAAAAAAAACAAACGAACATCAAGTGTATTGATACAGTTGATAGTCTGCTTGGATTTCTATGAGCCTTTTCACAAGGTTCCTCACTAGCAACTCAAAGAATTTAAGCTGCTGTGAAGGAGAAGAAAAAGGGTCCTCACAGAGATAACTGCTGGAAAGATGGGAAACAGGAATCCTGCTGGGACATGTGCTGAGATCTACACTGTTAACATCATCTTAAATGAGCTATGAGCTATGATCTGAGGGTAACAGGAAGGTGATCAGGTTTGTTGATGGTACTTAATTACTCAGGGAAGTAAAGACAATGGCTGGCTGTGAAGAACTGCAGGAAGACATGAGAGGCTAAAGGAATGGCAAAAAAGAGCAAATGAAATTCAACATACAGTGATACACACAGAGAAAAGCCAAAGTTCATAGCACATGATGGGCCCCAAACTGTCCATTCCCAACCCAACAAGCACATTAACTACCCTCTATGTCAAAAAGGAGGCAGAAGACTTGAAAGAAGCTTGATGAAGGGCAAAAAAAATCAACAGTACCGACTGATAGGAGGAAGGGACAAATGAACCAAGCCTCTTCAGGTTACAGAAGAAACACCAGGAGACAACAGCGAACAACATGGAGATGATTTATTGGAAGACAGCGAACTGCACTTTGCTGTTCAAGAACTAGGAGGCAACAGATGTAACCTAAAAAGATCACTGAAGACTGGGAGCATATCAAGTTATCATTACATGTTTGTCCCATATTCTTCTCTCTCTTAGACATTCACTATTGCCTAGTGTCTTGGAAGATACTAGGTCAGGTGGACTAGAATGGACCTTCTCATATTCTTCCCTTCACAATCAGTTTGTTGAGATTGAAACTTTCTGCAGATTTAGGAATTCATAGGCTGTGCTTGATCCTTTGAAAGTATAAGATCAATTGAAAAAAATCAGAATTTAAAGAGGCTGAGAAAATGAACCTGTGATGTTGAGTACTACCAGAATAGTTAGTATGTCTACAGATCTAGATTAGCATTAGACAATTCAGAGAAGGATAACCCATGCTCTAGGAGCAAAAAATTTTGCCACAAATACTCATAGTGGAAGTGTTTGCCAGTATTTTTCCTGGTTTGGCTTTCACCAGGACAACCAGGCAGACAGCAGCAGATCAGACATGCAGTACACAAACTAGGACACTACTATTTAGGGCACAGCAGCCCCTTAGAGCTTATCCACATGGAACCAGTGTGCAACATGCTCTACAGGGGAGCAGTGAAGCATTAAGCCAGGCTGAAAGATGGGAGCTGTTCCCATAACATACCAGCACACGCACTTAAACTCTTTAAGAATAGCTTCGATCTACGCTGAACTTTATAGCATCTGGACAAAACTACTGCAGTCTACAAAAGCAAATTATCAAATGAATGGAAACCCTTTGTTTTAATTCAAGCTAGAAGAGGCTGGCTTAGAAAGCTCAGGTTTCCTACAGCAGTTCTAGATGGGACTGAGGAAGATATCTTAGGTACTGGTAAAGGACATCTGCAAAGATGTGAGAAGGAGAAAAAAATAATTACGATGCTGAGAGTTTTATGGGTCAATTTTTTCAAGGCTATATTGATTTAAACTAGAAATTAGCAAGCCAGGAAGATACATCACACCCTCCCATAAATATTATTTCTAGCAGTATTCCTTATTTCCCTCCTAGTCTGTGCAAACAGTTTTCTGACAATGCCACCCCCTACTGAAGAATGCTGCAACTGGCAATATTTTCTTTAATGTTTCCTATGCTGTGAAGGGACTCCTGAAGGTAAGGACCCAAACATGTTTGGTTTTTTATTTTTTAATTTTCATTTTATACCCTCCCATATACTTAATGAAATTCAGTCCTCTTCCCCACTGTATCCAAGTACTACCTGCTCCCTCTGCAATGGAACCACGCCACCTTAGCGGAAACAGGAGCAAGGCTAGAACAGAAACTGAACTTTCTCTACCAGCTTACATGTAGTGACAGCTCCAGAAACTGGACCACTTCCCACACTACCCCACTGCAGAGGATTTAAGACTCCATCCCTCCAGGCTTCTCTATTTACAATTATTAGTACTACTAAAGGAAGGAATTTGCATTAAAATATAGAAACCCAGGCTAGGCTTCATGAAAATACTTGCTTTCCGGTGAGTTTACTCAGAACATGCTGTGTCTAACTCATCTAGTGCTTAAGCAGGTAAAATCTGGGTTAACACGGAAAGGAAGATTCCCCATTCCCCCTCCCTCAGGTAGGAGGCACGCGGCAGATGAGGTGGTAGGTGTGCTGCAGCCAAAGGGCACTTCAGGAAAGGCACATCTGGGAGGAAAAGTGGTTATTTTCATCCTAGCCTCTACCCAAACAAGCCACATCCAGATCTATTGTTTATATTCAGCCTCCCTGCAGGCAGCCTTTAGCACATCTCTTACACAACCATGCTAATTTTGTATTTCTGACCTACATAAAATATTGTACTGGGGTGGGAGGAAGAAGGGGGGCACCAGCATTCTGAATGATGTATTTCAAACAACGTTTCTGCATAGTGAGACATCAATAAAGTAAAGGTCCTTATTTGATTACTCAGTGTGAAATATTCTCAAATTAATCAGGCTGGTGACCATGTTTCCAATATGTTGCCAAGTGAGGAATAAATAAAGCCTTTTAATTTGTACATTGTACCAAAACCAAAGCAAGTCAAGGGGCCTGGATGATCATAGGTACAATCTGAGATGAATGTGTTTTGTAGCAATGACGATGGAAAAAAAAAAAATCACAGTGCTGTAATAAAGCAGAAGTGTGAATAATTTCACTGTCACTATGTATTAGAGCAGCCTGGGAAGAACATCACGTGGGTTGAAACTGTGCATCGATTGGTTACAGATGACATCATGATATGTCAAAGCACGAGCTCATGCTTCTTTTATGCCCAGAATAAATCTGATCTCACATTGGACATCCTTGAGCTCCCTCTGCCGGATACGCGGCCGCCCGAGGCGCGACCTAAACCCAGAGCAGATGGCCTGTTCTGTTGTTAGGAGCTGCTACTGCTCTCAGGCATTTCATTTCATACTCGACGATAATGATTCCAACCCCAGCCACCCTTCAAGTCTTTTTCCTTATTCCATTACACCTGAAAAAACAGAAAAGGTATCACACAGGAAAGGAAGCAAGTTTTGAGGATACAGAGGAATACGTTACCTTTCTGCTGGAGAAATGAGCGTGCTTCCCTAGCTTGTTATTAAGAGCCTCGAGGAACATCTCATCTGTAACTTTTCCGACATTCATGCAGGCATCGTCCAGAATGGCAATGATCCCTTTGTGCTGCTGCTCTACCAGGTCAACGATGACCTGATTGTTAAAGTAATCAATCTGTAAAACACAAAGATCAGGTATAATTATGACTTTAGTACTCCTCTCTTTCACTAGCCAGCGTTGGCTACTGCAGAACAGTACTGAGTGCCTGATGGAGAGAACGGGGCCCATGATTCACAGGAGAAGCACCCATCTTTCAGTATGTTGATCACTAAGTCAAAATTAAGCAGGCTACTCTTCTGCCACTAAACAGCACAGAAGGTGATCTTTCATACACCTCCCATTAAACTCGAGACCTCTGCTAAAAATCAACTGCTACAGAATGCACTTTAAAACGTCTTTTAAAATTCAACTGTGCAGAGTCAACAAAATGAAAACTGTGTATCTTGTCCTTGGCATTATGAAAAGAATTTGAACAGGAGAACTCAAAAATGTTATACTTGATCTACCAGACAAAATACATAAGCACTCAGAATAGAAACAGGCAGTGATCTGTGTGGCATCACAGACATGCCACAATATGTTTTAACTCAGACCTGGAGTCACTTATTTTCCAGAACCATGGCAAATATAGAAATGTTGTGAGATAAATGGTTGTCTTCTTCCACAGCCCGATTTCCAGACACCAAGTCTGGCAGTACAGCTGGCGTGGACACAGATGTCCTATCAACTTCGGCAGGAGTGTACATGTGGAGCAACTTCAGATCTGAGACTTATTTTGGTACACTGACCTCAAACCGACCTCTCCCTCCCCTGCCAAATCACTCACATGCTTCCAGGGAATTCCCTCTCGCTGGTACTCTTCCTGCTCCTGCTTTAGAACCAGCTGAATAAAGAGCTGCTGTAGCTTTTCATTGCAGTAATTAATACAAAATTGCTCAAAACTGCAAAAACATAAGGGAAAAAAAAGGGATGAGTTTTCTCACATGGGAAAGGAGAAGGCACAGCACTGTGCTTTAACAACGTGGCTCACCTGTTATTGTCGAATATTTCAAAGCCATAGATATCCAGGACGCCAATGACGGTGTTTTTCCCATGTATTGTAGTGTCGTAGTTCTTCACTTCAATCACATCATTGATGTGTGTCACAATCCAACAAAAGAGGCGCTCATATATAGCCTGCCAGGAGACAAATACTGAGGAATTTGCCTGCATCTGTCTCAGTTCTTTCTGGTAAATGCAACGCACGGTTCTGCAAAGCTTAATTCAAGATACTGCCCTAACCACACAAAAGCTACAGATAACATCCTGCTAAAAGTGACCAGCCACTGACAAGAAGAAAACAGTCTATGAAAAAAAATTTTTTCTCTTTCTTTCTTCCAAAACGCATTTACACGACGTCTAAATCCTAGTGAGGTCACCAGGTACAGCGGTTCTCCTAATTTGAGTCCAGTCTGCTTTTCAGCTGCTTAATAATTTCCATGCCTGAGATTTATTTAACAATATGGAAAAGCAAGTGAGAGTTCAGTTATAGAAACCTAACAACCGAGCACAATGGCAGTAAAACATTCTTGTTCACCTTTCAGAAAGAAAATATTCAGGGTTGTCAAGCACTGGAACAGGTTGCCCAGAGAAGTGGCTGAGTCACCATCCCTGGAGGTATTTAGGAGATGTGGCTTTTAGGGACACGGTTTAGTTGTGGACTTGGCTGTGTTAGGTTTATGGTTGGACTTGATCGTCTTAAAGGTCTTTTCCAACCTAAATGATTCTATGATTTCTTAGCAAAGGAAGGACAGTTGTCACTCCTTTGGTCATCAATAGCCACCTTTCCAAGAAAACCAGAGCACTTTGGGTTTCCAAACTGTTCCACTCTCTACCCTTTGAATTTAACTGCTAATGAAATAAAAAAAGAGTATTTCCCAAAATATTCAGCCCTGTACAGTTTTTTTTTGCATACGCCAGCAAGAAAGACTTGCAGCTCCCTCCCGTCATTCACATGCGGCAAGCACTGCTGGTTCTGGTGCGTGCTGTGTCATAGCCAGGGAAGGGTAAGGATGATGCTGCTCCACAATCCCCCCCACAGGAGTGCATACATTCGGAAATAAATCTGCGTGAAGTACAGACTTCCCATGTCTCAGCAAGCACTATACTTATTGATCCACCCAGGAATCCTACTGGGACCTGAGCATTGAAAAATGTGCAATTATGAAAGTAATTCAGTATTGAATGCCTTCCTCAGGCATCACCATTCTCTGCTCCACCAAGTACAACTCAACCAAAAGGCAAAAGCATAAGAAATGCATCTGAGTTACTGTCACATAAAAAATCAGATGCAGAGAAAGGAAGTTTAAACTCACTTTTGCAAAGGCATCTCTGCCATAGGTAGCTTCTTGTTCAGTATGCTGTTTGTCAATGACATCCCGACCTGTAGCTACAGTTCGAAACAAAAGAGCCTTCTCCACCATATCAGATTTCGTTGACAGCAAGTCTGCGATGATCGACACAACCTTGCCATTTTCTATTACAGGCGTATCACCATCCACAGAAAACTTCAAGTTCCCCTGCAAGAAGTAGCAAGAAATTAGATTTCCCAATCTGTCTTTTATTAATTGAATCCGTACAACCCAAGTTCATCCATATTCCACCCACAATTCAAGTCAGTAAATCTGCTAACACATTAGAAGGGTGGGCCTTGCGTACCCATGTACCCACAAAGCTCCAACATCAGTGGAATCATCAAAGCCTGTTTCCTGCTCAGCATTCAGCTGAGCTTTTAGGAAAAAAAAATTACATTAAACGCTTCCAGAGGTTTAATCAAACACTGTCGCAAGATTCAGAGTCTAGTGATGGGTAATTACATTAAATATACAAATATTGGATGTAGCATTTCGTCTTCACTGCAGCTCATCACAGAAAGTCCAGGCTGCAGTTCTTGGTGTAATGCTATTGCCCCCAGAGGTTATGTGAATTTTCTGGAGAAGCTGAGAAGTCAGCACGGCTAATAGGGCTGGACTGACAGCACGCTTCCACAACAGCTTAGTTACCGAACACCTGCAGTGCCAGGATTAAGTGGCAATATCACTGCATTGTCTGCAGGAGTGGTCTCACATCCGTCCTGCATGGCCTGAGGCTTTGCCTCCGTTCCCTTCCCTAGCACAGGGACACAACTACTCCAAAGAGGAGAAAAAATTGGAAAAAAAGCTACTGTTTTCTTTGCCTTTTCCTCCTGCCCACCTGAGGTGCCTCTCTCCCCAAGGAAACCTAAGAGCTGAGGTACAAGGACACTGCGCACGGGAGGAGACTCTCTGGGTCCCAGGAGAATACAGGTGAAGGAAGGATTTCCTTAGATCCAGAATACAGAGAATTAAGAGGTCCCCTGTATCTGGCTGTGCTCAAGCCTCCACCATGAAGTGAAGTACCATCCCTCCAGCAAAATCACAGTGGTGATGGCGAGTGTGAGGGTAAGAGGGGACAGAAAGATAGCAAGGCCAGAGCTCCCTAGCCCCTCACTGCCAAACCCAAACAATTCCTTCAATTCTTTTCAGAACATTTAACAGCTCCCAGTATGTCGTGGTATGTCTGTTTTGGGATCTGGAATATGCAGAAATAAATGTGATCTTCTATCATTACTGCAGTGTCCTATTTCATCAAGGAATTTCACTCACCACTGGAAGTTGTAAACTGTATACACTTTTCCAGCAGTCGACAGATCTTCCAACTGCTTCTGCAGCAAGAAAATTAAAGCTGCTGGAAGTACAAGCATGTTGCTTGACCCCTCCTGAAGAACAGCCTACTCATACCTGCGGGCACAGAGCTTACCAAGTGAAGAATGGCTGCCACAATTTTGTAGACAGTCTGAATCTCCTCTTGCTTGAAGCCTATCACTTTCATGGCATCAGCTACTGCTTTGAACTCTGCGCCATCATTGATGGAACACTGAGGGGAAAGAGATGTTTGGGACATGAGGGGCTTAATGGAAGTCAGCTGCGAGAAAGCAAAGACTTTGCAAGCCCACGGGAAATAGGTATGTACTTCGCTATTTTTCAGATGCAAGACACTGTCAGGAGATTTCTCAACTTATTCTAATACCATGCCGTATGGTTGTATGCGGAACCCCACACTGGATATGTATACTAGCACCAGTGAGACACAGAAATCCATCACAGCATGATTAAATAGTTCAGTGCTTCCTCAATGGAATTTATTGTGAAACAGTAGAAGCAATTCATTAAAAAAATCAGAACAACAGTTACAAGCAGTGCAGTCACAGACCCTCTGAGTAGAAGCTGCAGAGCACCAGCAGTAAATTTCTGCTCACCATCTTTCTGAAGATGAGCCTCTGCCCCCCTCCCCTCCTGATCACCTGGGCTTGTTTTCACTCCAGATTTCCAGAGACACTGATAAAGGCATCTGAGAAGGTCTGTGAGTTTGTTTGCCAAAGGGCATCTCAAGAAAGCAATTAGGAAATCAGGGAAACTTTTGTCTGGAGCCTGTTTCAGAGGGACAACACTAGGGACAACTCCAGACTACTTAAGAGTGTTCAGGATCTTCTTGTCCTAAAAACTCTAAGGGTTTGTTCCCTTCTTTCCTGCTCAGAGGTCCCCTTGAGGATAAGTCAGATATGAAGAATGAATGCTTCAGTAACGTAAATGCTCCTACTGTAAAAAAAAATTAGCCCTTATGTCTTTTTGGTCCAGAAAGCAGTTTAAGTTACCCATTATGAAGCATGAAAAGTCTGTCACCGGTAACAAGTCAAATATCTATGTCTGCATTTATTAACAAATGTGATGTCTCTCCTACTACATTTGATTGTTTTTTATTAGCAGACACAAATGTAATAGGCACAAGTACACATATGCTTGTCTTTTAGGGCCAGAAACTCCATTAAAAATAGCATGTTGGTGTCACCTTTCCATATTCATCCCATAAATATTGGTCTCAGCTTCTGCTAGCTCAGCAGTACTTCAAGTATTTCAAGAAGCATTTACAATTTTAAGACGAGTTACCTCTAACTCACTAGCAACACCCTCACCTTTATCTGTGCTCCAGGACAGATATAGTTGTATGCAGATGCATCCTTCTGAAGATGTAGGGAACGTAACATCTGGTCAGAACCCCCCTGGAGGAGCTGTACAAAGAATATTTTAAGAAATGGTCACCGAAAAAATAAAATCTTTCCTTTTTGTTTCTTATTCACCTGCTTGACAAGCAAAGTCATAAAAACATTAAATTACTGCTACAGAAGGATCAGCTACAGTATCTGGAGTCACAAGTACAACATGTGCAAAATACAGAGTCTGCAACGTAGTAGGGCTCTGACCCCCAGAAAGAGGTTGCCTAAATGACTGTCCTTTTGAGTGACACAACTGTTTAGAAAACAAGCCTGAACCTCTTCACAGACCAGACATGTTTACATCTGTGACATGCCACAGATGTGCCTCGGCAAGCACATTCACCTTCAGTGCTTCACACCGAGACCTTCCAATACGGGAATGACACATTCATGAGAAAGATGCTAACATGCCATCATGGCGTACTGTGCAAGTGGGGGAAAAATAAACAAACCTACGTTTCCCTCACCGCAAAACTGAGAATAAAGGTTATACTAATACGCTGATCATTTCCCCCAAAGGACGCACAAGGGAACCACCATACGACACGGAAGACATTAAAAAGAACCCAAAGAAAAAAAGAAAGTCAACTTGGTGTCATAAAATTACTTCCATATGGAGTAAAAGCCTCAAGAGAAAATAGAAGGATTAGACTTATTACAAATAAAACAGTGAGTCAAAGCCCAATATTCTACCATATTTGTTTAGTTAGCCTCCTTTTAAGTTTACAGATGTGTTAATATGGGACTGGAGGATAGAAAAAAATAAATCTTCCCATGCTCCTTCCCCAAATCAGGCCTCTCTAAACAACTAGAGAACCTAAGATCACCCAAGATGCAACAAGGCAACCCTTTGAAAAACACGAAAGGGTGAAAGCTTTAAATATTTTGCCTAACATGTCTGGGAAACTTGAAAAAGTCATTTGTTTCAGCAAACAAATACAAACCTGGTAAAAAGAATGAAAGCTTCGTTCTCCCGGCTGTTGCACAATCACACGAGACTGAGGGGAAGCAAAATACAAAAATAGGTATTTCTGGATGTGGACAGCCTGTTCCCCAGCAACTCCCCTTAGACACCAATGCATCGGTTTGCCACTGCTAGGACACCTCCAAACTAATCTTATCTTACAGTAAGTCTGTTATGAACGTTATTAGCTAGGCATGACCATGGAGTTTGAAGTCTATAATCAAAAAGACCAGCTTGCGTAACAGCTGCAACGTCCTACTTGCAACCAGGAACCCCACGTGGCAACTACAGAATTGCTCTCATGGAAGAGTCAAATAAAACGTCATTTTAGTTTATGAGTTATTTAATGGCTGCAAATGAAAAACAGGACTCTGACTACAAACAAATGCTCCACGAGCCATAGCTGGAGTCTGGTGGTAACCACTTCCACAATCCCAAGACAGGCTGACCAATGGCACCCAGCCACTGCACAAGTGAACACCCTGCTCTAACACGAGGGCACTCTTTCAGGGAGCAAGCGACAGCTCCATCTTCAGAGCACTCATTCCAAATCAGTGTAAAACAGCACAAAAAACCCAAAAAAAGTGTTAAATGCAGCAGAAATCCAGTCCACAAGCAACGTATCCTTGTTTTATGCTATAGGCTTGAGCTATGGCGAGCGACAAGGCACGTGCTCCTGTTGTGCTGCAGTCTCCTGTCTGTTAACTGCTTGTGTTTGGGCCAGAACCTCAACTGCTTTCAAAAGAGAAACAAATGTGACTTGGTAGAAGTGAAGAATATGACATAAATGATCAGGATTTAAGTCACTGCAGCTGCAGCCCCATTCCTTTTTTGCATGAAAGTATCACATGTTAAATGTTTGGGTTTGTTGTTTTGTTTTGTTTTTTTTTTTTTAAATAAAGTGTTTATTCTGAAAATAGACTTCAGGGAAATAATGGGAAAAGTAAAAAACACAAACAAAAAAGCATGTTAGCAGATGTGTTCAAACATATAAATTAAAGCCAGACGTGTGTCTCACACGACGAGAACTGTTAATAGATCAAGCCCAGTTTCTCTACAGAGTTATACATATTCCAGTGTTTTCAGCCACCACTTAATGACATGGAAAAAAATAAATTCTGCTTAAGATCACTTGGAATATATAAAAACAAAGTTACTAAAAGATCACACAAGGCTGCAGCATTATTCCAGAATAACACTTCTCAAGCAGACTGTTGCTACTTACAGACCTAGATATCTTCTCCTTTTATTCACCAGTGAGATCTCAATGCGGGAACTTATAAAGAAGGAGTTTTACAGAGTTAAATTAATCTCAGCTTTTATTCTGGATACAAAGATCATGCACCTATATGCTCATAAGCTTTTGAGTAACACTAGTCCCTTACATGGTTAGCTCTGAAAGCAGCGGTGTTAAAGCAACAGGGCAGTGACAAAGCCCAAGATTTAAATGAGATTCTGTGCCCTCATTCAAAACATAATGACATTCCACATTTGAAAGGAAAATTTTCTACTGGCAAAGCACTTATTACAAAACCCTCTAACTAAAAGTGAGCGCAGCTTACCTTTTCTAGTAGGTAATTATTGATGTGCCCACCTATTGGGTCTCCTTTAAAATCAAAGTTGATATCCATGTATTTTCCAAACCTGCTGGAATTGTCATTACGGTTTGTTTTGGCATTACCAAAGGCCTCTAACACACAGTTGGATTTCAGCAGTATGTTCTTCACTCTGTAATACAGATAAATGGAAAAGAGAACAGGGTAAGTCCAGACTTGTATACTCAAATCATGGAATATTTTTTTCCCATAGGCATTTCTAGAGAAGAATTTAGTAACAGCAGAGATGCTCTTTGATGACATATTTGGGTAGATGTGTATGACATCAGCAATCCCATGGGAAATCAGCTGGGAGCTTTCAGTAATGTTCCTTAGAGCCGAGCAAAGGTGAACCACAGACCAGATCCCCTCACTGAAAATAGCATAAAAGATTCAGTTCCTTTACGTATGTAAATTCTGAAATCAATTTCATGAACTCTTTTGCAAATAATTTTCAAAATTTTTCTTGGGGTAGGTACTAAGTCTGTTTCAACAGGAAGTCACATTCTTTGCTCAAAAACTTTTACTCTAAGGCTGACAGGCACACTTTGCAATTCCTAAAAGGTTGCGGATTATGCTCCTCGCACTCAAAATGCTTTTCTAATGTACACATATTTCAGGAAATTTGCCGCAGGAAACGTAAGCTCTAGACACTGTTTTTATTTGGAATGTTCAAACTTTGAAAATAAACTTTTCTGTATGAATTTAGCAATCAAAACTGCAAAATTCCCAGAGTAAAAGTAGTAGCTGAAGAAGTTAGGTAAATGCTGTAATAATCAGCATGTAATTAGTGGAAAAGACCATCTAATAACACGGTGCTACACAGTCCACAGAAACAAAACAATTCTACTTACTCTTCTGCAAAGCTCTTACCTTTCCACCTCTGCTCTCTGGCCAGGGTTGGTAATGGCTGCTATGTACTGCATAATATATTTACTGGCCTCAGTTTTCCCAGCCCCACTTTCACCTGAGAGCAGAAATACAAACATGACACAACAGATCAAAAAAGGCAAAGCAAATCACTGAATGTTATATCTTAATTCGTCCCCGACAGTGTTTGGGGGTTTTAGGTTTGTTTTTTTTTTAAAGCAATCTTATTTGCGTGCACTTTGAGCATTTTCTAAATATAGCCATAATCCTGCCTGGTTGTTACTGCTGTGCTGACTTCGAAGCAGTTATGATGTAAGATTTCACAGGTCGGTAAAAGGCCTGGCACACAGAGGATCAAAAGGAATATTGTTAGAGGAGAAACACTGGCATGCAGAGGCTTGGCTAGCAGCAGTGCCGGGAACTGCGACACAAGAGGCTACTGTTCCGCACACCATCTCGGGTCTCTCGCTTTTCAGAGCTGGTAAAGCACGGGAACGTCAAGGAAACGAAGTGCCAGGATCCAGATAGCGACCGTTCATGGTACAAGCACTGCTCCCACTGTTAGAGCCGCGACAAGCATCAGTCCGGCCATCGAAACAGAGAACAAAACATTGGCCGGGCATCCAAGGGACAAAAATCAGCAGTTCTCTGAAGAGAGACAGGAACCCTGTTCTCACCGATCTCCGTTCACACAGGCAGAGCAAGCCGAGCACTCACAGACTAAGCTGACGACTGACACCAGCTCTTGAGTTAGGCAAGAAATTATTGTTAAGGTCTCCACACGTGGATTCAAATGCAACTAAACAGCTTTAAGATTAATGAAGTTTTCTTTTATAAAATGCTGTCATTAGCCAAATAATTCTTCTTTCTCTGCCTAGAACTTCACAAAGACCAAGTGTTTGTCATAATGAAAAGCTATTTCAGCTTACCTGATATTACAATACAGGTGTCTTTTGATCGCCTCTTCATCGCTTTGTAAGCGGCATCAGCAATTGCAAAGAGGTGAGGAGGCCTCTCATACAATTCCCTTCCTTTGTACTGCTCAATCATGTCACGCCCATAGATGGTCAAGTTTTTGTAAGGATTCATGGAAACGACCACCTCCCCAATAAATGTATAAATCCGTCCTTTTTCAAACCTACCCGGGAAGAGACAAAACGGAGAAAGGGAATTAGTCAAACATAGAGCTTCAAAATATGTCTTCCAAACAAGCTGCCCGTTTCATCAGGTGAACTCCTCAGTCCATAATCGTACCGAAACATTCTAATATTGACTATGGACTTTACTGACCAGCATGGCCCGGATGGCATGTTGGCATATTACGTAGAGACTTGGTGTTACAAGGACTAAGAACTTGGGCTAGCTTTGAATCTTACCACCTCCAAAGGAAATTTCTACTGCTAGTTCACCGGCAGATGCATGACTGATCAGATTACTGAGGTACAAACACCAACCGTATCTCTGAGTGTAGCAAACACAACAAGAAGGACGTTGAGGTGCTGCAGCGTGTCCAGAGAAGGGCAACAGAGCTGGGGAGGGGTCTGGAGCACAAGTCTGATGGGGAGCGGCTGAGGGAACTGGGGGTGTTCAGTCTGGAGAAGAGGAGGCTGAGGGGAGCCCTCATCGCTCTCTGCAACTCCCTGGAAGGGGGTTGTGGTGAGGTGGGGGTTGGCCTCTTCTCCCAAGTAACCAGCAACAGGACGAGAGGGAACGGCCTCAAGTTGCACCAGGGGAGGTTTAGATTGGAGATTAGGAAACATTTCTTCACCGAGAGGGTGGTCAAGCATTGGCCCAGGCTGCACAGGGAGGTGGTGGAGTCGCCATCTCTGGAAGTGTTCAAAAAACGTGTGGATGTGGCGCTTCGGGACATGGTTCAGTGGGCGTGGTGGTGTTGGGTTAACGGTTGGACTTGATGATCTTGAAGGTCCTTTCCAACCTTAATGATTCTGTGATTCTGTGAAACTTTTGCTTTGCCAACGCAATCAAGCCGCTTTCTGCATATTCAGGTGTTTTGTTACATTAACACGCTGCCAGAAACAAATCTTTCTAAGAAATTCTTTAGCAAGATTTAAATCAATGTAATTTACTGTTCCTACAATTGACAATGAGTTTGTGATGAGTTCATATAATCTGCTGCATAAAGGGGATTTAAAGGCAAATTCTTTTTTTACATTCTACAGTTGTCCATAACCCAGCTCACACTAGAGAAGCAGAAGTTTTGAAGCAACTCACTTAGAGGTCTAATCACATTTGCAAGAAAGTAAACAAAGACAGAAGCCAAGAAGCAAATTACAGCCTTTCAGCTCTAGCAGTTAAGCTTCCGCTTCATCCTTTTTGCTAGAAGGCACTTTGATATCATCACTGCTGCTAAACCAGAAGTGAAAGCTTTTTAAGAACATTTGAAAACAACCCTAAACTATACTGTCCTGAAACCCTATCTGGTCCTTAGTATTCTTTCTGCAAACAAGACAGAAAATAATTTGAAGTGTGTTTTAAAAAAAAAAAAGTGTTTAAATTAAAAGATGTTTCCAAAGAAATTTACATTTTATCAAGAGTTATCTAGCAGAAGAGCACAGAAGCAATTTCTGATTAACAGCTGAAAAATTCATACAGTATTTTCTTCTCAGGAGGAGAAAGGATGAAAGCAGATTTAGAGATCAACATGCAAGTGTTGATCTAAATAAGTGTTATTTAATGGCATTTCTACCATTAAATACCTGTCTGCACCCTGTATCTAAATCTTACAACATTAGATGGCACCATAACACCTCTACAGCGTACAAGGGCCTTCCTAATCCTTGATGGACTCCGGCACAAATTCCAGCATTACTTTATTGAATTTATTACCACCCCCATGTGGTGACAGGCTTGACATTTTCTATTGTTCATTTGAGAATTTTCTACAGCACATTGGCAGTGTTAGTTGTTGTATTTCTTGAGTTTTACTACACCTGCTAATCTAGCAACCAGCATTCCACTTTTTAAAAGCGATTTTGCCTCTATTTCCAGCTTCCTCCAGAAATACTTCACTAAAAAGACACAAGAATTGCAAAACATCTTTTTGTTCCTGCACTCAGTTCTAACTGAAGGTAGTCCTGATATGCATTTCCCAAAACATCAGTGAGCTTAAAATGCAAAGATATTTTATATTTTAGAGATATATGCTGTTGGAAAGCTACCAGAAATGTTTTAGAAAAGATAAGGCTGTTATAATTAGCAATACCAACTACAGCTCAGTAGCTAACTATCACTATCCACATATGGATAACATATAGGCAACACCACCAAGCAACTGGTTCGCAAGCCTGGTACAAAATACAGAATGACAGCCCAATTCTTAAAATAGCAGTTTATTCACTGGGAAACCAGAAGATGAACTTGGGTACACAGGAAGCCTCACACACTCAGTCCTTGTCATTTGCCATCCCTAATTTTAATTCTCTGAAGCACAAAGCAGTTGGGAAGCGTAGGGTTGGGAAGACGCCAAACGGGCAGCAGAAGACACACGTCGAGTGCAAAGAGATCGGATACCAGGCTGCTTGTCTCCTGCCCGCTCAGGAGCACACGAGGGACTCTACAGACACATAGGAGAGCTTAAAAAAACCCAAACACACACGACACTGTTTCTATTAAGGAGATCAAATCGCACTGGGACATACGTATGTAATGGAAACCATTACAAGGACATCAAAATCAGCAGAACCCTTCCCATCTTTTGGAGTTGGGTCATCCAAAAAAGGCAAGCTGTCCAATAGAGAACATATAGACTGCTCTCCAAAAGTGACTTCACAGCAGGCACAAAACCACTGCTGAAGGCACTGTTAATGATAAAAATAAAGGTACAGCAGTTTCTGGAGGAGGTTAAGCCCCACCATAGTGCCAGAAGCACGGCCAGAGGATTCTTGGTCAGCACAGAGAGGTTAAGGGGTTTCTTTTAGCTGCCAAGAAGAATGAAGGGGTAGAGGGGAGGGACATCCCTATGGAAGTGTTGTTGCCAAGCCACCATCACAGTACCCAATACTTCAACCTCTTCCTTAAGTAATGAACTATGCAAACTTTCAGTAGCAGAGCACAGTTTAAGTTTCCTCCCTTGGTGGAGGAAAACTGCCTCCTGAGCAGAACCTACAGATCTGCCCCACCGCCGGCCGTCCAGAGCCCAGCGCTGCACAGAAGCCCCCTCGGCCGGGGCACAGCCTGGCTTTGGAGGCGTTACAGCTGTGGCACCGACGCATACGGCAGTTTGACGTAGTGCCTGCTGGCTTCCCCGACAGCTCCGGCCTTAGCAGGTCTCACATTTGGCCTCAAAGTCACGTTTTAAAAGGTTCTACTAGACTCTGACGAGTTGCATCTTCAATCTCTGTGGCAAAAGGCAGATGGAGACAAGGGAGAAGGATCCATGTCCAGGCTTGACAAATGGGCATCGCTCAAGCTTGGCTTTAAGGATACAGAGTTTATGAACAACTGATCCCTGTTTACCTCTCTGTTTTGGGTTTTTTTTTGGGGGGGGGGGGTGTTTTTTGTTTTTAGTGAGTTTTTTTTTTTTACTTCTTAGCACCAGAGTTAAATTCCAGAGTTGTGCTTAGATGTTCCTCAAAGTAGCCGTCGCTCCTCGCCCCTCCTTGCTGATAAAGCCTCTTTTCATCAGACAGCGCAGCTCAGCACAGCAGCGGGCCAAGAACAGCAGTGGCTGTTTTCCTAGCTGCATTGCTTTGGTGTGAGATTCTTGGTTTTCCTTGCCCAAGAAGAACTCATGAAAACTTAAGAAAACAACCAACCACGGCAGTCCAAACCGGGAGGTACAAGCTGTGTTAAATCCGCTATTCTACTGCAAGGCAAGGTCACAAAACCAGATGACGAAGCTATCCGGCACTTTTTGGAAATGCTTATCAACTGGGGCATCGCACTCCATCAAGGGAAAGCTCATCAACCCAAAGGTCGGCATAATCATTTCAGTACCGAGCGCGTAACACGTAGGAGTGAATTTTTGTTATGAAAAGCAATTTACAGCTCACTTGATAAAAAGGAACCCCTGTACCTACTCCTGGGGGTCAACACCCCCACGGGCAAACCTCAGTTTGGATGGATCATGAAAATCACATCCTCTTGTGCTGCAACTTGGAGGAGAAAAGATTTCCCTATAACAATGCTATTTGAATAATTTCTGTATCACTGTCTCCTGAATTTTCCACTTATTATTCTGGCATCTGAAATCTAGCTCAGCAGTCAAAAAGAAAGTCACAGTATTTAATCCTTGTGTGTTATTTTGATGAAGAACATCAGCTCTTTCATAAGAAGTTTTTATACTAGTTTTTATTACCTTGTTAAAACATCGATTGATAGTGAGAACATATAAACCAGTAGGTCTCAGAATATAAATCATTTAAAGGGACAGAAATGATTGTCTAGGAAAGAATACTGCCAAGGAAAGAAAAAGGCTCCTACTCCATTTTGTAGTTTTTATTTTTAGGGAGCTGGGGGAAAAAAAATAAAATCCTGAAGTCCAGACACCCTATGTTCACATCCAAATGGAATTGGAAAATACACTGCAGAAATCAGAAAACCGAAGCAGAAATCTTCGCCACCAGAGAGCACTCACTATTTAGGATTTCTCCCACCTGACAAACACTCCAGTCAAAAATAAAACTGTTCTTACCGAGGAAATGATGCAACTTCAAATGCACTCAGTACAAATAAAGAAAAGTTAGTTGGCAAGACTTGGAACCCATACTCCAAAACAACATCTGCAGAACACAGACCGTTAAACAAAGGCACCCTACCATGCAGTTGCCACTCCAAATGCTGCAATTCAAATTATACTGGGAATTTCTAATTAATCATGTACATGGTAACTCTTCTGTACCGAAAGATAAACAGAAACTTGCCGGGATCACAGAGAGCAGGCAGCACTCTGCAGGCTTATTGCTATTTCTAGAATTCAGCATACTTTCTGAGATAACCTATGCCAGCTACCAGGGACAGTCTGCAGTGAGATCACAGGCTGGGCTTCGCTGGGGTGTGAAACGGCTCCTCTGAAGCACATTTTGCCAGTCCTTCCCTCCATCTGTCTGCTATGCGAGGAGCAGAGCAACTGCTGGAAAAATCATATCAAGTCACCAGTCGCCTCATTTTCTCTTACTT